ACCACAATTCAAGTTGTTTAAGAAAAATCAAAACAATGATAATATGAGAAAATTGCCTTCCGGGATACAAATGTAGAGTACTAATGTTTATGGACATCGCAAATAAGAATTCAGTTCTTTAAAAGAAATTCAGGAAATCAGACTGAAAAAGTTAGATCAGTTAAACTCTCTATAACCTCAGTTTTCTCATTGTGAAATGAGATTAAGTGTAGTAACTGAAAGCTCCTTACAATGATATTTAAAGTCAGTTATTATTTTAGAATCGTTCAGAAAGTTTCTGTGCTCTCAGCTGCCTTTTAATGCATTCACATAATGTGCCAAATATTTTATTAAGTACTTTATTACATTTAACTTTTTGATCACCATCATAAGGTGACTCAAGACATGCCTGAGGTTACACAGTGATTAAGAGGTAGGGCTGGTGTTCAAATCCATGTCCCATTCTGCTCTGGTAGTGATGCTCTTACTAGCATATTGTTGAGATCGATGATTCACATGAGTGGTGGTGCATGCCAGAATCTAGGAGGGGAGAAGGAACAATTTCACTTTGCATGTCCCCCACACAGTATTTTTTTTTTGGTTACACTACGTGGTATGCGGGATCTTAGTTGCCCAGACCAGGGATCAAACCCCTGCCCCCTCCAATGGAAGCGTGGATTCCTAACCGTTCCTGGACCCCCAGGGAATCCCACCCTCAACATTTTTATGTACTTATATTATGAAGTGTATCTTGATTCCTCTCCTCCAAACGATGAGGATTATTACTTATGGAGTGAGTTGCGAACAGCATGAAGGCAAAAAAGAAGTGGTGAGCCACTGGGTCATGTTGCTGTCAGAGCACACTCAGGCAAGGTTGATTATAGATTAATATTTATGAAATGTGATAACTTGGTACGGTAAATATGTATCATTTACTATGTCTCTGATAATTTGGTATGTGTTCTTTATGAAATTAGAAGAAATATGCTAATCCGTTTGCCTTTTTTAATTAGCTTCCAAGGCAGATCAGTTTTAGGTGTTTTAAGAGTAACTTCTTGAGTTTTCTATAAGTTTTCTTTCTCTACTCCTTATTCCCCAGCTCCTGTTTCTTCCTCTCTTGTCTTGATGACTTTGTAGTATCTATTTTTTTCTTACAAACATGTCAAAATATTTTGAATGTTAATGTGTATAAATAATTAATGGAATAAAGTGATTGTAGGTTAATGGGTTTTATTTTATCTGACTAGAGATCCACTGGGTTTACTTAGCTTGAGAGTTTTAGCATTGATCAACCATTACTCTTTTAATATTGCCTCTTTCTTATTTTATTGTCTTCATCTAGAATTCTGGGAAGGTATGTATAGAATAGATCCCCTCTTGTAGCTTACAGGTCTGAAATTCTTTCATAGTCTTTATCTGTCTGTGTTTCATTTTGAGTCGTTTTTTCAGATCTATTTTCCACCTTTTAACTGTATCAACCCATGTCCATTTGGATTATAATTTAATTAGTTTTATTTATAAATGTTCTAATTGGTTCTCTTCAGAAGTTCTGCTTTTTGATAGTTACTTTTTCCTTGATATTTTAAAATATCTATTTCTTTAAACATATAAAAATGCTAATTTTGTATTCTATACTTGATAATTCCGTTGTCTACTGTCTCTGAATTTCTGACTGATATCATATCTAAGGCTCAATAATAGTAGCTGGTTTCCTTATGTGTCTTTAATCTTTTTGATTATTCTTGTTGGGATTTTATCTATGAGAATCATTTATTTTCCATTTCCTTAAGAGTCATTTCAGATGCCACAACCATGGTGAGGTTATGATATTTCTCAGCCGCTTTTACTCATTCCATTCTTGGTGCTTCTCCCTTGCACTTTTGTATTTGCATCTTTCAGCACATGCCTGTTGGCTTTATTGCTTTTTTGTCTTCCCAACCAGTTAAGTTCCTTGAGGGTGGAGATGCTGAATGAAAGCTTAAGTAATACTTGTGTGCAATTAAGATCTTATCGAGCATTTAAAATATCTATTTCCTGGAGAAGGGAAGGAGAGAATTGTGGAGAAGCAATCTGAGCATCTAGAAGATATTTTGGTGTTGGATGTGGGCTAGTGAAAGAGTTGGGAATAGAATTCAACTGTGACTGGGTGAGGCACTTGGTTTGGCACTGTAATATACACTATCTTCCTGGGTTTATTTGACCCTCAACAGTGAGCTGTGAGTGAGCTGCTATCTCATCTTACAGTTAAGGAGACGAAGTGGTTCATACATTGTTAGACTTGTCCAATAATAGTAAAGTGCTTACAGAAAGCTGAACAAGGGAGGGACGGGGTCTGACTCTGACCCCCGTGTGAATGCCTCCTGGTGCTGCCCCGAGAACCAGCGCCAGGCTGCGGCAGTGAGCTGTGTGGATACTTTGCTCTGAATCTTTTAGGGGAATTCTGTCCATGAGAGCATGTTTCTATCTTTGAAATGGAAAGCAGTGAGGAAGTGTGATTTGTTAATAAAAACTGATGGTAAGGCAATGTTGGAGCGTGTTTTTCTCTTTGAACTGAGCTATGTGTTCGTATTTATAGACGTCAGTTGTCTTAGCTATCCGTTTTACCCTAATTTCAAATACCATTCCAACCAAATAAAGTAGCATGAATCTCCTTTGAGGCTGTCACATTTCACCATGATTTTTTAGGGCTAATCCGTTTCAGTAGTTAGCTTATTTGAAAGTAGCTGTCATTCTGTCAGAGGTTTCCTAGAAGTAACACCTTTGCTTGGAAACTATATCTGATTAAAGGCCGACTGCCTATATAAGCATCCATTGAGTTCTTAGTATCTTTCTAAATAAGATCATCTCTTCTTTATGGTAGATGAAATCTTCTGTGACCTATTTTATCCCTCCTTATAAGTGCTTAGTGTGTGATGAACAGTAGACAGATGTGGCAAGAGCTGCAGCAGTTTTCCTCCTTTGCTATCTTAGATAAGAACAATTCCTAATTACGAACTAGTCACTGGAATTATCAATACAATGGTGGTCAGTCACTGTGAGCCTGAGTGGTAACTGTCACTACATTTAAAATAAGTATGTCACATAGAGTACACTGTATTATTGTATTTTCATTTGATTCAACAAGCATCTATTATGCTGGGCAATCTTCTTCTCTCTAGAGACTGAACAATATTGTTGAAATTAATGTCAGAGAAATTGAATTCTATCTTAGATTATTGATTACCTTAAAATATTTTTCGCTGTTGTTTGCAGCCAAGTCTCATGTCTATTCCAGGCACTTGTGAAGAAGAGATAATGGATTTTACTGCACATTTAAAAAAGTAACTATCATGATATGAGTCACCTTCTCCTTATAAAGTCAATTAAAATACCTTCAAACTCAGTCTTAATTATATAGATTAATAATGGCTTGCAGATAATGAAATTCAGAAACTTTCATTTTAGAAGCTTAATGCTAAATTTCATGTAAGTGAAATGAGTTATTTTTCATGTTTTAAAACTCTCCAGCTTTTAATAACAGCCAATATTGAATAAGCCCTCACTATCCACACACTGTTCTAAGCTCTCATCATGTGTTATATAAGTCATTTAGCACTTAACCACCTCCTGTATGGTAGATTCTACTATCTTTTAATAGATGTACAAATTCAGGCAAAGAGAACTTAAGTGTCTTGCCCCTGGTCACATAGATTGTAAATAGTGGAAAGGCATTTCGAACTTTGGAATTTGGAATCTGGAGCCCAATACTCCCATTTATTACACTGTATCTGTGTGTGCTTTAAATGTGTGGATGTGTAAACACTTATCTGTTTCATGTATACTTTATCATTGTTTGAATCTGTAGCAAGGTGGGTAGCACACTGCTTGAAATCATGTTGAAATCATGTAATCTCTGTGGCTTTTCTCCCTCTTCCCTCTACTATTCAACGTAATTCTTTTCCTAAAAAAGAAGGGTTTAACTATGAAAATTTGATAATCAAGGTTGCAGTGTTGCAGGCACCTCCGCTTCCTCAGGCAGGGGGCAGAAACACACACTTGGATGAAGTTTCCGTGAAGACTTTATCTTCTGAAAACCCTCATCAGAGTCGTCCCGATTTGAAATTGAAATGTCTTTTATGTCTTACTCCATTTTTAAAGATGTCTGTGTGGCAAGCATTCATTTTCACACGTTGGATGAACTAACTAGTAGACATTTCAGTAGTGTGAGGCATTTGTCTCGAGGATGAACGTGTCTGTCTTCTGGCTTGTTCCCGTCTCACTTGCGGTCCAGGGGTTGTTTATATCCATGCAGGGGAAGGAGGGGTATGTCTGACCCAGCTCTGCACTTGGTGGTTCCCAGGGCTGTGCCTTTTAATTGGAGTCACCACGTTATGTTTTGGCATTGATTAAACAGTGAATTTTTCTTCTGAAGCTGTCATAGGCTTTTATATCTCTGTTGATCCTTGGAGGCAGCTGATTTACTGTCTCAGCTTCATTCTCTTCTGTTTTTAAGATTTGTTCTAAGGAGTGAATGCCATATGATCCTCCAGAAAAAGTGTAACTTTGTACTGAAAAACATAATTTCTACTCTACAGACAGTCTGGGATAAAAATCATTGTGATGGCTTGATTTGTGTCAGGGTATGTGGAGCTTAATAATTTTCCTGGGGAGAGTGTACATGAGCCACTTTGAGGAACTGAGGCGGGGGCAGCTTGGACACACTTCTGTACTACTTTAAAAACAAATCAGTGAACTCTCTAAGCATTTTACTTTTTTTGGCTTTTGAAATGTTAACATGGAGTAGTAGTAAAGCCTAGGCCATCTGGCTAATCATGCTTTCGTCTTGGAATTTATGTTTTGTTTGGGAGTGGGGAATTTAAAATGAAAAAGTTATGAATCATTTTTGGGTATTGTTTTAATAGAGGATTGGAAAATATTTCATATTAATTTATGCTAAGTAATTTTATCTGATATGTCCTTGATTTACGGCACTCATGGACCTTTAGTGCTTGAAAAGTAAAGATGTTATTCTTTTTCCTCAGAAACGTGCTAAGGGGCAAGTGTTATTTGACAAAGTGTGTGAACATCTCAATCTCTTGGAGAAGGACTACTTTGGACTTGTGTTTCAGGAGAACCCTGAGCAGAAAGTAAGTGAAGTTATCTTGTTTGTTTATATTGTTTTTAAAAAGATACTGTGTGTTTCTCTTAACTGGTGTAAAACTTAGTTTTCAGATAACTTATTTCACGTTTTTATCATGACGGTTTATGTGCATTGTGCTGGTGGTTTAGTCGCTGAGTTGTGTCCGGCTCTTCAATCCCTTGGACTGTAGCCTGTCAGGCTCCTCTGTCCATGGGATTCTCCAGGCAAGAATACTGGAGTGGGTTGCCATGAACTTCTCCAGGGGAATCTTCCCAACCCAGGGATTGAACCCAGGTCTCCCACATTGCAGGGAGATGCTTTACTATCTGAGCCACAAGGGGAGCCCAAAAAGCAGGGAAGGAGGAATATTGGAAGAAATATCAGGAATACCCATCTGTACTTGTCTGGAGGTTCAGGGGAGTGTGTGCCTTGCTGAATAGATGAGTGGTTGGTAGGGATGAAGGTGTTCCTTGCCCTGTTGTGTGGGTTATTGGGGGCAAAACAGAAGGCAGAGTCCAGCTGACTCACGTGGTAGAGTGATTGATCGATTGATTTGGGCTGTACCAGGGTAGGTTTGTGATCAGTTTATTGTCTGCAATTTTGTTGCACTTCTGTTTTTCTAGCATGCTGTTTCTGAACCTTTTTATCAAAGGATGATGGTATAAACGGGTTTATTCTTACTGTGTGCTTAAGTTGTCTCTGCCGTTTGATTTAGTAAATGAATTAAACAGTCCATAATAGCCTGTTTTTTATATGTACACACTGCAAGAAAGAAATAAAATAATAATACAAACTTTCCCCCAGTTACTCTTATATTTTCCCGTGGAGTCAGAGGAAAGTGTTTTAATATACCCTCTTAAGTTGTTTTCCGGAGGTGTGCAAATTAAACTGACAAAGGATGACTTTTATTCATGTGAGTAAGTGGGAGTTCACAGAAAACTGTGACTGCAAGAAGTGGTTAGGGCATCTTAACAGGGGAAAGAGGTAGGAAAAGGCACTTATGGAAAATGAGTGACTTTTAGGAAAGGTGAGGGCCCTGTAGGAAAACAGGTGGGAGACAGGCTTGTTTCGTGCCAGTGTCTGTTTAGCTGAGGGCTTCTCCTCTCAGTGATAAGAGTCAGTCCTCCCTGGTTGGAAGGAAAAGGTATACCTATACCAACGAAGGGAAGAGATTTATGACTACCTAGTTCTCCTGCTTTCACGTAAAAGAAAAGCCTCTTCTTACGTGTCTGCAGCTCAACGTGGTGTTTATCCACCGTGGTGCGTTCTGGACCCCATCCATGGTGACTTGAATTGGACTTAGACGTCCGCGCTGTAAGACTCGAACTGGCAGGTCGGAAGGGAGTGGAGTTTGCCAGAGCCCACTGTCTTCTGAGTAGAGGTGACTTGGTATATCTGGAGAAGGAAATGGCAACCCATGCCAGTATTCTTGCCTGGAAAATCCCATCGACAAAGGAGCCTGGTGTGCTACTGTCCATGGGGTTGCAAAGAGTCGGACGTGACTGAGCGACTAAACAACGATAACAAGGTCTTAGTTGCAGCTGTTAGGGATCCTTAATCGCTGCATTTGGGCTCCTCATTTGCTGCATAAATGATCTAGTTCTCTGACCAGAGGTCGAACCCAGGTCCTCTGCATTGGGAGTCTTGGCCCCTGGACCACCAGGGAAGTCCCCTGAAGTGGTAGATTTGATCAGCCAGGACTCTGTGAAGACCTGCCTGATCCCAGAGTGCATTGAGATGGTTTCTGCTCCAGGACTTTCCTGAGATGCCGCTAAGCAGGACAATCAGAGTGCTCTAATGCTTGATGCTAATTCCAGGGACCTTCAGGGCTTCTCCCTTTCCTAAGCATATTAAAGAAAGAAATACTTACCAGTTCTGGCAATTAACCAGACTTAACCTCTAGCCTTCTGTCTTTGTCAGTTTGAGCTTCTCTAACAAAGTGCTGTAGACTGAGTGACTTATAAACAATAGACTTGTGTTTCTCGTTGTTCGGGAGCCTGGGAAGGCCGAGCAAGGTGCCCGCTGATTCAGTGTGGTAAGGGCCCCTTCCTGGCTCATGGACCTCCTGTGGTATCCTCACATGGTGGAATGAGCAGGAGGGCTCTCCAAAGCCTCTTTTATAATGTCGCTGATCGCACTCATGTGGGCTCCACCTTCATGACCTAATCACCCCAAAGGCCTCAACTCCAAATACTGTCTCACATTGGGGATTAAGCTTCAGCGTATGAATTTTGGCGAAGGACACAAACCTTCAGTCTCTGTCACTCTTCTCATTGTTAAGGAAGTTCTTTTTCTACTTCACTTTCTGAGTATTGGAACTTTGGTGGAGAAGATACTGATCAGGGTGAGGAGTGAAGGCTGGGTCCAGCGTTATGCCCTGAAAGGAAGCCCTTTGGAATCTGTTAGATGGTGGCTGTGGGCAGACTCATTGTGATGTTTCTGAGGATGCCCAGGACGCTTGGTCACACTGTTACCTTTGCAGTTACCTCCCAACATCTAATATTCATGTCATAGTCAGTAGGTAGGTGAATATAGACTGTAAGTTTTATTTATCCACAGGCCTTCATTATTTGTATTTATACATCCTGGTAATGAAATGCAGGATACAAACAGTGATGATTATATATAAGTTGAATTTTCTCAACTTGCTGCATTTTAAATCCTTGATACCTAATTTGTGGTTTAATTCCACATTGAAACTGAAGACAATTAAATTGCATGCCTGCCCACTGAATAGTGTGTAAGTGTTCTTATTAGAACTCTGTTTAGAATATTTTTCTTAGAAGTAATAACATATTAGACATTCAACTAAATAAACTAGGCGCTCTTTTAGACTTTAAATTATAAGGTAGTCTTGATAATGTTTCCAACCATGTTCTCTTCTGTTGGCCCTCAAAGCTGTAAAAGAGAAAGTGATGGAAATTTGGCTAGGAGCACTTAATCTTTGTTAAGAAGGAAAACCATCAGTATGTTGTAAAATGTGTAGAATAACTTCCGTTATAAACGTGATATGCTGTATTAAGACATACAGTATTTCTGAAACACTAGAGTTGCATGGTGAAGAGTAGTATTTAGATAGTAGGAGTCTCTATTTTTTATTTTGCTGACTCTTAATATATGTGCCTGATCCATGTTTTTCTCCTGAGTCTCAGACTCATATACTTCACTCTCTACTGGACACTGCACTCACTTGTCTAAAAGGAAACTAGTCTTCTCCTTCATCTATTCCCTGAAGAGTAGGTATAAATTGCTTCCACTTTTTATACCTCTTTTCGTTGCTTGTCAGTCAATAAGTTCTGTCTTCTACCTGCTGACATCCTTCTCGTTCTCTTTGTCCAGTGTTCTTGCTTTGGTTTAGGCCCCTGTCATCTCTTGCTTTGAATATTTTATCAGCCTCCTAACTGGTTTAACTGCCCAGTCCCAGACCTCTGCGATCATTCTTCTCCCTACTGCTAGATCGAACTTTCGGGAAGGCATAGCCATCTTGGCACTCCTTGCTTAAAGCCATTTAATAGATGCAATCTAACCCTCTTAGTGTGATTTACAAAGCTCTTGGTCTAGTGACTGTGGTCTGCTTCTTTGTCTTCATTTCTCAGTAACTTCTCACAAAAATCCCTATTCAATTCACACCACATTTCTCTCACAAGGGAAGCTTTGCCCATCCATAGTATATCTGCTTGAACATACTATCCCTTGTATTTGGAATATCCTTCTCATTTTTTTTTCTTTTTTTGAATCTGAATATCTATTATTCCTTAAGATCCAGCTTAGGTACTCTATGAGATTTTCCTTGGTTGTTTTCCACCATCATCCTTCCTGGCCCCAACTCAAGGAGAGTTAACAGTTCTGTCATCTAGACATTTCAGTTCAGTTCAGTCACTCAGTCATGTCTGACTCTTTGCGACCCCATGGACTGTAGCTTGTCAGGCTTCCCTGTCCATCACCATCTCATCCTCTGTCATCCCCTTCTCTTCCTGCCTTCAATCTTTCCCAGCATCAGGGTCTTTTCCAGTGAGTCAGTTCTTCACATCAGGTGGCCATAGTATTGGAGTTTCAGCTTCAGCATCAGTCCTTCCAATGAATACCCAGGACTGATCTCCTTCAGGATGGACTGGTTGGATCTCCTTGCAGTCCAAGGGACTCTCAAGAGTCTTTTCCAACACCACAGCTCAAAAACATCAATTCTTTGGCGCTCAGCTTTCTTTATAGTCCAACTCTCGTATCCATACACGACTACTGGGAAAACCATAGCTTTGACTAGACAGACCTTTGTTGGTAAAGTAATGTCTCTGTTTTTTAATAAGCTGTCTAAGTTTGTCATAGCTTTTCTTCCAAGGAGCAAGCATCTTTTAATTTCATGGCTGCACTCACCACTTGCAGTGATTTTGGAGCCCAAAATAATAAAGTCAGTCACTGTTTCCATCGTTTCGCCATCTATTTGCCATGAAGGGATGGAACCAGATGCCATGATCTTAGTTTTCTGAATGTTGAGTTTTAATCCAACTTTTTCCACTCTCCTCTTTCACTTTCATCAAGAGGCTCTTTAGTTCTTCTTTACTTTCTGCCCTAAGGGTGGTGTCATCTGTGTGTCTGAGGTTATTGATATTTCTCTTGGCAATCTTGATTCCAGCTAGACATTTAGACATTTAGCACAAATGTCCATTTAGACGTTTAACACACACCATATTTATCAGTCTTTCTTCCCATTGTTCTAGAAACTGTGTAACTTCTGTATGTCTAGACAGTATCAAATATTTTAAAATACCACCTGTCTACCATCTCACACTCATTAAGATGGCCACTGGTAAAAAAAAAAAAAAGAAAATAACAAGTGTTGGCAAGGAAGGATGGTGAAAAAATTAGGAAACCAACCTGTACTCTGGTGATGGAAAAGTAATATGGTGCAGCTATTAGGGAAGCAGTAGAAAAGTTAAGTCAAAAAATTATAAATAGATTTACCACTTTTGGGTATATATCCTGAAGAATCAAAAGTAAGATCTTGAAGAG